ATCCATCATTAGTGTTTTTTCTGGTTGCATCTTTGGAATGTCAAATCCGTTCTTGAATTGATCGCCATAACCAGCACCACTTTACACAGCAGGCGCATATGGATCCAAACCATGTGTCATTATAAATCATTTGCGTTTCAAATCTGATAAAATCATATGCTTGGAGGCCAGTGTTGCAGCTGTTTACATGTCCCTCTAATATCATGATGGAAACTCCTTTTTGTTGTTTTCTCCTCATTGCAGCCAAAGGAAACCGTGGTCACTCGTTGGCGTGCCGACCCCTGGGCCCGCGGCTCCTACTCGTACGTTGCTGCAGGTTCTTCGGGCAACGACTATGACCTCATGGCACAGCCCATCACGCCTGGCCCTGCGATACCAGGAGCCTCACAGGTGAGCACTCAAACTGCACAGAATCCAGTCACCTAAAATGACAACTCCAAGGAACCATCCTTAAAACAATTAACATGCCTTTCATTTTAATGTTTGATGACGTTTCGGCATTAAGCCTTTGTCAGAAGTAAAAGGTTGGCGTTTGTTTTTAGGTCTTACACGACTATACTATTACAATAAAGGCATTTGAATGGTTTCAAAGAAATTGCCTTTGAGTTTTCTTGTGATTTTGGTGTTTACATTTTACACAATCCTGAGTCTTGAGTTTGTGTTTGGGTAAGAATGTCAGTTTATTGTGTGTGTGAAAGCGAAGGAGAACAGGCACCCCAGCCTGCCCACAATACTCAACCAAACCAAAGCAGAGCTGTTTCTTCTCCACACAAATGTTTTTCCCGCTGTTTTGATGTTGGCATGCTGATTGAGTCATATTTAGGTGTTGGATGATGAGTTCTGGCAGTTGACTACCACACTTTTTCCTCTGTCAACTTCGCCCTTATTTTCTTTTCATCCCTTATTACGTTAGGAACAATCCAACTTAGATCTTAATGTGTTTTTCTTTCTTTTTCCTCTCAGCCTGTTCCTCGTCTCTTCTTCTCCGGAGAGCACACGATCAGGAACTACCCCGCTACAGTTCACGGCGCCCTGCTCAGCGGGCTCCGGGAGGCCGGGCGCATCGCAGATCAGTTCCTGGGTGCCATGTACACACTTCCCCGACAGGCCACTCCCACAACGGCCAGCAACCCTCAGCAGGCTCCGCCCACTCCCAGTGTCTAAAATGTCCTCTCATAGTAACTGCCAACTCTGGCCAACTTAGAGACCAACTTCAACAGTTAATGAGAAAAAAACAAATTCATAGACTGTGGACATTTCTGAACGTGATCCTGGAAGACCCTGACAACACTTAGCATTATTGCATTTGCTCTAGTAATAACACACAGAAATAGTTTTCTGGCTATGATGTGAAATTGAGATTCCTTGTATGGAGTATTTAAGTTCTTAACACTTATTTTGGGATGTTAGTGACTGCTGACATTTCCAGCTAAATATGGAGACAGATTTAACCTTCTACTAAGACTGGGCTATGCTAACGGATGACTAATGAATTCCCATTTTGTTACATAATGATGTAATAACTAATCTATCCTAAATGTTATGTTCCAGTCTTAAAAACCGAAGCATGGCTTTATGTTTGGAGTGATTCAGTGTATTTTATTCCATGTGGAGCATGTCTGCAAAACCCAACATCTATTTATGTGCCCTTGTCTAAATCCTAAATGTACACACAACATTGAGCCAGATATCATATTGTAAAACAGATGACCAACCGAGTAGCACAGTCTCAACCTCAATGCCTTGTCTTGGTTGTCTTAAAACATTGCTATGTACTGTAGCTGTACGCCTCATAAATGTACTTTCTACCACTTAGGTTGCAGAGTGTAGTGAATATAGTTTGTATTAAAAGCTAAAAAATAAAGATATGTTGAGAGAATAGTGAATGTTTTTGTTGCCATAGCGGTTTAAGTATTTTATTATGGCTATCACATACTTTTTTATATTGTCAGTTGTTTTGTTATTAAAAGAAGACAGAAATTGTTTCTTGGTAGCTGCGTGTTCTTTTAAAGTTGTGTGGTTTGTATGCAGATGTTTTATGTTGCAACATGCTTCCTCTCCTATCCCCTGCAGATGTCTAGTTTATGTACTTGCACATGTATGTTCAAAATGATCATGGCTGCTTTGACCCGCCGATGAGCCTCCTTCACTGCAGACCTGGCCCCATCCCAGGGTCTGTGGCACTGTGTGCGTGAGGGACAGATGAGGGTCCCTGGCAGCAGCTCCACATAGTGGGAGATCTGCTGAAGGAGAAAAGCTATGAGCTTCTTTCTGTGAGTTGTATTTCAGGGCTCTGTGCCCCTCTGTTTCCATGCACTCCAGCGTCACAGGACTTGTTTTCCCCCAGAGATGTGGTTATTATTATCGTGACCAAAGGAGATGTTTGATGTAACAACAGTAATTGGAGCTGGGGTTGTGGACTGCGGCACTCGGGTATTTTTCACCTAAACCATAGGCTCAGAGCAGTGTGTTACTGTTGACTAGTGAGGTTATTTTTCATAATAGCCTCAAGCCCACACCAACTGATTACTTTATAGAAAGGCAGAGATGTACCAAGTATGATATGGAGTCCTTTTGATGAGACCACAGCATGTCTGAGCACATCTCGTGTGAATCATGTGTGGAGTGGAATGTACACTAGTACAAACACCTCCCACGTGCTGTTTCACAAGCACATTGGACATCATCCATGACATAAAGACAGAGATGATATGGAGACTACAATGGTTTCATCTTTCAGTATTTTAGCTTTGTTTATCCCCTAAGGGTATGTGATTCCTTTGTAGTTATGTTGCTTTAATATAGCATTTTTAGCCAAATGTTATAGTGTTAGGGTTTGTGTTAGGCTTGAGTTCGCGTAACTTTAATAGTTTGGTTCATGGCTAAATACCTGCAAACTGATGGCAGTCCCATTATATTTGCCTCAGCTGTAGGCCTTGTAAATTAACTCACTTGTGATTGTGGTCATGATCAAAATTACCTGCAAAACATCAGCACATTCCATAACAACATTTCAAACCCCACCTGTTCAAACTGGCATTTTCTTTATTAAATTGTACCCTGTGTCCTTCTATAGTCCATTTCCTGTTTGTCTTGTTTTACCCTGGCTGATACTTCACTAAATCCACTGTTTAAATTGTTCCCTATATTGCCCCTATGCCCTGTAAGGTGTCGTTGGGTGTTATGAAAGGCGCCCCCCAAAATAAATGTATTATTATGTTGGTGTTGTCTTTGTGCACAAATGTTAGCATGCTGCAGTTAGCATTTCGCTTGAATCAGAGTCATTAGCATGGCTGTACTGTAATATTCTAAATTAGCTAAAATTCCATAAAAGTTAACATGCACAAATTATCAAGCAAGCATCACTTCTGATTTTTTTTCCTTAGCTGCAGGCTTGACTGTATGTTTTTCTAACTACTTTATTGGCCTTTATCAAAGTACTTTTTCACTCTTCACAGAAGGAAATGACATGTGTTACTAATAACATTTAAGATGGCTGAGTGAGAGTGACAGTGAAAAATCACACACAACACAGAAGCTGAAATCAAAACAGATAAATGGAATTCATAAATCATCACTTTGATTATTTACACATGTGCTTTTCCTTAAGGACATTATTGGCAGCTTTCTCACTCTTTCCTATGGCACCTGTTGTTGGGTTGATTGTAGGCCTAGTCAGTGATTCCTCTTTCTTGTTTACATTTCTCCATCCTCCTCCTCCACCCGCCTGGAGTGCCATTGAGTCATTTCCATGGTTGACTTCACAGCATTAATTCAGGTCAGGCATGGGTGCTGAGGCTCAGGAGTAGGGTTTAGTAGGGTCTAAACAGGCACCGCTGTGTTAGGGTAGCTCCCTGCATCTGAACTTGGGACAGATTAAACCGCACAAGCAGGAGACAGCGTTAACCCCTGAGTTTCAACCATTTTTTATTCATGACCCCTTATCAACCTATCCTTGATTCCCCAACAGTGAACTTTGATAAGGGAGGAATTTATTTATCTCGTGGCTCTTACCGTTTACTCTGAACGAGGCCTTGAGACTCTAATCATCTGGGATGTAAAATAGGCCTTATTTGGAAGCACAGCTAACTTCAGTAGGTAAAGCACAGCTGTTACTGATAATGTTAACAAGGGATTTTCTCCTATTTAAGCATGCATAATGTTTAATACAATTCAGCTGTGGTTAATTTCAAAAACCTTTTTTTTTACTGTCCCATATCAAATTATCAGGAATTCAACATTTTCTTTTAATATTTTAGCTCTTAAATGTTTTGTTTATATACATATATAGTTAAATAGAAGGATAATATACAATTTGATATCATTTTAACTATCAAATCCCAGATGAGGAAGTGTTGCCCACTTATAGCTTCAATGGACCAGAATGCAATGCAGCTGTGCACTGGGAGTGTACTGATCTTTGCTCCGTGTCTCTTCACCCCTACACATTAGGGCCATGCAACTGAATTCAGCAAGTTTAGGCTTGTTCTTAAAACTGTTCTGGAAAAGTTTGGAAATTACCAGCTTGAAGTGTAAAAGGTTACACCAGGAAAAGCGTTCTCCTGGGATTCACCAAGCCTTTCGGATGGTTGGCTATTTTGACATGGTTAGATTCCCCACACTAGATCTTGTAGATTAGAGGATTATTTTAATGAAACTACATCTACAGGAACAGAAGTGCTGCCTTTCATAAAGTGAGGCGTAGCAGTTTAAGAGAAAGTTGTGGGCTGACTTTGCATTCCACAACAGCTTGTGGTTTTCCTAGTACCTGACCAAATGTGGCTCATTTGTCTGCCTGCTTATTTTGCATACCGTCAGCTGCTATTCTTTCTGCTTTGTTCAAACCTAACCAGGGGATTGGAGGCAGACACCGCTATGAAATCAAAACTTGCTGAGCTTGTTCAGCAAAAAGCATGAAAGAGATTAACATACATGGTTGGGTTTTACACACAATCAGCATCACACTCACATACTGACACAGGTTCCAACATGGAGACGTGTTACAAACAGGTTGGTTTTTATTTTTATTGGAATACATATGGTCTGCTGTACAGTTGGCAGCTTCAAGAGACCTACATGCAGAGTGCGCCAGCCACAGTAAGGTTAAAACATGCACAATGTATTAAGTCTAAAACGGAAAAAAAAAAGCCTTCCCACACAGTCCACCTGGCATTGCTGACACACTGAGAAGCAATAATAAATCATAAAACCCTTTTGATCTGATTTCATTACATACAGTTTTGTGTTTGACACCTGTCTGTCAGTCTTCTTCTCCTGTACACAAAATGAACTTATAAACACTTGGAAATAAAATAAAAACAGCTGATTGTACAGGCCTGATATTCTTGATTCTGTGCATGTATGCGTGTAAAGGAGATAAGATCCAGTTACATGTTTTTTTAAAAATAATAATAATTCCTACTAGGTCATTTGTGTGTGTTTATATATACATGAGTGTCTGGGGCCTGCACGCTTCTTTCTTTGGCAGCACTTTCAAACATACAGCACAGAAGATGAACGAACCCTGAATTTAGGAGCGAGGGAGGACAGAGCAGCGAAGAGGAGCGCTGAATGGTCCAAGATAAAAACAGGACAACACATGTTGAACCGCTCTGCACTGCAAACCTGCTAGGCCCTGATAAAATGCACATAGCTCTCATTCTTCAATGACTACGACACAACCCTGGCTTCACTCTCTGATCTATGCTGTGCCATCATGTCTCCAGGTCGTGAGAAATGTCTTATTAAAATAACAAACACAAAATACAGGAAGAAGTACTCTCCAGGAGTGTAACAACAAAACAACGAGGACGATACATTATCTTGCAAAAAAATATCATTCTTATAATCAAGATGGACAAATACTTAATATATTTCAATAATAAGGCCCACTTTACAAAATTACAAGACTTTCCTTAAATAAAATCTATCCGATATAGCTTCCAAAATAAGACATCTTTTGTTTAACAAAGAAATAAAAACACAATTAAAGAGAAAACAAAAAAAGAAAACCCTCAAATTGAAAATTCCCCATTCATTTCAGTATCTTGGAAACGGGGTGTCCACCTGGGGAAGATGGGCCCCGTCTCTTACTGTAAACCGTAAATACTGTGGAATGATTTTGGCACAAAGTTAAAAGGCTGAGATGTAGGCATAACAGGGTGCCATCCCTCAAAAAATATTAATTCACTGAGTGCACACCATTACCTTACTTTTACCTACAAGATGATTCTTAAATACTCTAATTTGGCTGGTGCAAAACACAACATATCTGAAGGTGGAACATTCAGCAAATATATACTGCAAAGTTGTTAATGTACAATTCTGGGACACAAAAGAGGAAACTTTTTGACTAAGGGGTATTAATCGTTTGAGGTCTTAAAGTTAAGTGCTGGTTAAGTGCAGATTACAGCCTACGCCATCCAATGACACCATGACCCTGGCTTCACAATGGAGGCCTTTGAGGACAAGGGATCGATCGCTGCCCGAAAGCCATTTCTTCCTCGCCATTCCAATCTCCACTAAGTACATTCTAGTCTACTTTATAAAAAGGGGAAAAACAATGAATTGTAAATAACGGATGTTTATACATAACCCACCAGAGCTTAAGAGGATTTATGTTAACTCTTTAGTTGGCATTTGAGCAGGAAGGCGGAAGCAGCCACTTTGCTCTCCACTGTTAAACCCCCTTTTGTCCTGGTACGGATTCTCCATCATATCGTTCACAGCCATGTCCTAAATATTCTGCTTCTGCAGCAGCTATTACACTGATTCTCTAATTCAATAAATGTTCTGCAAAACTGCCATGATTCAGGGAGGAGAGGAACCGACCAAACCTCTGAAAGAGCCCCCAGCTGTTTTTTTATAAGCCATTGAAATCTTGAAACCTGTAAAGTCTTCACTCTAGTCTGAGATGACCAGTCAATGCATTCCACTATGTCAACACTTTACTGTCTCTCGAAAGGAATAAGACCCATCACATGCGAGTAGTGGCATGTAGCCCATACATCGGACGGTAGAGGCTCACAGTGTTCCTTATCCTGGTTCACATAGTCCTGCTAGGTTTCAGTGGACGGAGTGAATGTACAGTTGGGTGTTAGTGTACTTTGGGGCCTTGTAAGGAAGGAAGGCATCATGCATTCTGAAGGATGGAGTTTCAACTTTGCCCTTAAAAAAGCCCCACTTTCTTTGAAGCCAGTGTATGGGAGGGAAACCCTCCAACGCGTCATAAAACTTACAGTTTCCGACAGCTGAGCTCTTCCTGGGACCCCAGACTCGAATGTTCTCCTCAGGGGGAGGGGTGAGACAGGTTTAAGAGCAGAAGCTAAGAAAGGTTGAAGGATGAAGGAGAGTGAAAGAGAGAAAGGATAAAGGTTACGCAGTAAGCAGTGAGGACGGTTGAAACTGGAGCATGGTCTGCCTGTAACGCTTTTATTTATTGGCCGGAGGGAAATAGCTGACACATGGAGGAAGTAAGGCAGGATAAAGGTTGAGGAGGGCATTCGTGTTAGCACTTGCATCATCGACTTGCTATATACAGTAATCCTGACCCACAGTGATGTCAGCCTTGAAAAAAAAAACTATCTCCGGTCCTGCCTGCCAAATCTGCCAAACACACGTGCAAGTTTGTCAGTCAGCACCTTCTTACTCGGGATCTGCAGCAGCTTACAAAACACCAGTTCACATGTCGGGCTTTAAAACTAGAGCCCTCACTGACATATTAATAACAACACACGGATGGATCACCACACAACACGTGTAACTCTGGCAGTCCGAGTGCAGGCAGAACTGGACATTCGATACATTTGACTGTTTTAATTACCCCTAAAGTGGATATGGCTGCCAAGCTGTCGGTCTTCCTCTATTTAGAAAACCCTGAGTCAAGAAGTCGAGACAGGATTAGATGCAGCCCTGACCTTTGACCTTTGAGCTACCCAGGGAGCAGCCCATCAGCGTCTGGTGACAGGCCTTCAATAAAACAACTCGCTGAACCTACAACACATATCACCGCTGTTTAGGACTAAGCTTTAGGAAACAAGAATCTAAGGAAGATGCAGAGAAACAGAGGAAGTACGATATGAGAGGAAAGGACATTTGACAGCTCTAAATGACTAAATGGAAAATTGGAATGGGTTGAAAAATATGCCAGATTGGGGCTTTCGTCTCTTGTTAATTTGGTAGCAGAAACAATGACAGAGAAAGCACAGAAAGACTTTACAATCATGGAGTCTTGGCATGTGCACTGAGAGCTCTGAACTGTTCTGTTTCTGCTCCATCATAAAGCCAGCAGTGACCCTGAAGAGGCCACATGGCAATTCTTTGAGGCTGCACTGCAACCCAGCGACTCTCACAGACAAATCCAAAGGACATAGCTTTCTGGGCAGTGTGGTTTATATATTTTTTAAAAGGTTACTTTGAAGTTGGGTTAGAAAAGAAAACTAGCTTTTTCTCAGGAAACCTTGCTTTGACATCCCTCAGGGAGGAGTTCCTCTTCTTACGCTTAAACCAAAATACTTTTACGATGTTCCATACTAAAAATCCTCTTAAGAAACTATTATAAAGTAATAAAAAGAACCTCACAATCAGTTATGCATGTCATTTGTATGCACAGCAATAGGAAGAATATGGTGCAAGTCTGAGTTTTTTGGGACAATCAATCTACCGCTCTTACTGTATCTCAAGGCACAGATGAACATACTATATAGATATTTATAGAAAAGAGTTATGGAAATGAACATTAGTGAAAATAAACATTCGGAAGGTAAACAAACATTTTAGTTATTTATCGACGATCTGTATGTACAGCCTGACATATTTACAGCCATTGCATGGGGGGACAGATTCTTGATTGCATATAATCTCCTGCTTGCATAAACAGTAAAGTGACAAAGCAGAACTTGTACATGTTTGGATTAATAAATACTACAGCTAGATGTTGGCTGGTAGAATACAGGAGAACTGATAATGTAACAGGCCATCCCGAGCAGGGTGGAGGACCCAGGTGGAGGACGAAGAGCTCTTCAACAGATTTCCCTCACTGTCACAGTTATGGTTATACGAGCTTGTCAGATAAGCAAAGAATGCAGTCGTGTTAGATTGGGGGAATTCAAGCCATCAAGCAATTCTCAGCTGCATTCAATAGCAACCTTCATAAATCTTGATGTGGGATCAAAGTTTACACCTACTGTAATAAATGTTGTCTTTTAAATATTTGACAATGTTTCTGTCATACATATGCACCATTTACCTCAATACACCACCTTGTTTTATTACTAGCCACTACTAAATTGGTGTCTATAGCACCCCCATTGCTGCAGTGGCACTCTCTAATGAGAGATTGCTCCAACATACCAACCGCAAGTTGATATTTTTATGATCTAACAAAATAATACACCTCTATAGAAATAAGAAATGGAGATAAGCTGGGACGATTCGCACGGCGAACCCGGTCACAACACTGTCAGTTTCTGGTGGTTAGGAGTCTCAGGTATTCCTATGACTGGCTGGCATGTACAAAGTATTTACAGCAACAACAACAACAAAAAGTCTGACTTGCCGAGCCAGGTTTGCTGGTAAACCAGAGTCCAATCTTCATTTAAAATGGAAACTCCACTTTACTATGGCTCTCTCAAAAAACATGAATGAGGACAAAAACAGCTGTGAAACAAAGCACCATGGAAACTGTAGCATGGTTGGAGGTTATAAACAATACCCTCACTCCTGTTTTTGCCTACATGTGCAATGCATTTCATTGCGTGCAAAGTACGATTTTTTTTGTCATGGTGGAGCAGAAAGGGAAAGGATAATGCAGAACAGGAAGCGAATTACAAAAGCATCAAAATAACTGAAGAAAACAGCAAAAAACGTAAATAAGGTCCCGGTCAGTCAGAACGTATTTGTGTGTGTGTGTGTGTGTGTGTGTGTGTGTGTGTGTGTGTGTGATTTTGCTCCTTAAATGCAGCCAACTAGCAATCCTTTAAGCATGCTGAGTCACAATCTTTCAAGTGCCCTTTATGTATTACTTAAACATGCAAATGTTCGCCAAACGTCTAATTAGATCCAGTTTGAGGCTGCATGCCAGGAAGTGGTGACACAGGTTGAAAGTAAACAAAGTAAAAAATGTGCATGTTTTTGTATGGTTTTGTATATTTATGTGAGAAAATCTGAAAACATACATTCAAAGAAAATATGTGAGAAAATAAGAATGAGCAAATATCTTGAGTCAGCAAGGGTGTTAATTCGCTTCCTGTTTTTGGTGAAGGTCCTTTAGTTTGTGAAGAATTCTGCATGAAGATCCAGCTCTGTGAAGATGCATCTTTAACATTGTACTGCTGTTGATTGAAGATTGGGTTGTTTTTACAGTGATGGTTGAAATTATGATGCAGAAGCGATAAATCCAGCTCCATTGTGGTCACTGTGATGGTCCTCTGAGAAAGGCATTCTCAACACTCGAGTCCTTCTTTCTCTAAAACTCTCTTTAAACCCTCTCTGGCACGCAAGAAAATCCCCAGCCGTCCCCAGCATGCCAGCCTCTCCCTTGTCAAGTTCGGGATTACACTATAATACATCCAACACGAGAAGCAGAAGAGGAAACATGGGCTGGTGAGGCGACCTCCAAAAACACTGTACAGGCACTGTCTTTCCTTTTATGCCTCTTTTGGGACAGAGAAAGTTCCGGATAGGAAGAGTTGTTCACGTCTCCGCGCACACTCAAGGTCAGGGGGAGGATGTCAGGTCTGTGGTTTGTTGTTTTATATGGCTGCAACTGCTATTTTTCTTTTCTTTGCTGTAAAAGCTGTAGATGTTGGCTTTTGGAGATGATGGAAGCCTTTAGTTGATGGGAGACTGATGTTTGGCCCTCCTTGTGCCATTGAGAGATTAATGGAGTGCTGTTAAGAAAAAGAAAGATTGTACTTAATCATTGGTCTTTTACAGAACTATTCATCTTCTTAAGAGAAATGATTGGTGCCGATTTTCCAAATTATCTCCCAAAAGTTTGCCAGAACTTACAAGGTCATTTGGAGCCAATTATGGGGAAACTAGAGAGTGTTCAATTGGTAACCTTCCAATTCAAATGCATTTCCAGGAAAACTTAGAGAGTCTTTAATGCACAACAGATCAGCTAAACATGGAAACATGAGCAATTTCCTAATATACTTAAGTAAACATATATAAAGAACGAACTCTGAAAATAAAACTCCTAGTGTTTCCTATTAAGCGCTAAAGTTCTCCAGGAGAAACTGCAGAGGAATAAGGACAATGTTTAAAAATTATGATTTCTCTCAATGTCTACTGGTGCAGTTCACTTGGAATTGCCTTGTCAGGATGGATGCTAAATGTTAAATGCAGAAAAGCTGGGCTTCCCACTGGGGGGCTCTACTTACAGTATTAAACCATTGCACTGCTGCTCCCATGATACATGTGCTATGCCTGGTGCTGTAAAATGTGACACAGAAGTGTTGAGTCAGCTTAATACTGCAATTTGAATCGAAACCCACTTTCAAGATGTGACGTTATGCAGCAGGGGTAATTAACAACAGTTTTCTTCAGTTAATGAGTTTCACAAGTCTTTAATATCATGTTCAAGCACTTTGAGTGATTGGAAAACTAGAAAGGCATATATAAATGCATGTCCATTTACCATTTTTGCTTATCGTTTTTAGTCCTATTTCAGTTACCGTTGGTAGTGTTCTTTTGTGTGTCTATATTATTGTTAGTTCCTATGCTTACGCTGTTGTATTTTGTGTTTTTATTTCTCAAAAGCCTAAGGTCTGCAAATAGTTCTGGCTGGAAGATAAATATAAAATGCATTGGTTGAACTATGCCTACCAGTAAGGTCTTTGTCAATTAATGAATAAATAAAAACTAAAGGCCATACCCTCTCCTACCTGTATGCTTGCTGTCGACCGAGCTGGTTTAATATTGCTCAGAAGGACGCTGGCTCCACGGTCTGCTCCTCCCTTCGGCTCTGGCTCCTGACCCTTGACCCAGACTGGACCACAGATCCCCCCTGGAGGAGGCCCCTGCTGTCTTTGACGCGTGGTCGTAAGAGCTCCCCAGGTGGGGAGAGTCGCTGCTGGGCATCTGCCGCCTCCAGGACGCTGGGCTGTTGCCCGGGATGGGACTGGGCTCTGTGCTATCGGCAGCCTGGAAAGGTTAGAGAATGTGACAAATAAAATTAGTTTTCATTCTAAATTGACAGCTTCATGTTTAATATGTGGATTGGTACTTGGTCAGAAACACTAAAAAAGTTACAACTGTTAAATCCATCCCATATTCTGGAGTTGTGTATGGGAGCTCTGGACGTTTTGTTTAGACGGTTTGGTGCCATGTTTGGACTTGTGCATTATGTGGGCATTAAATATATGTTGCTTACGTTAACTGGTGTGTGACAAAGAAAGACCGCCATGTGGACTTCTGCCAGGGGAAAAATCCCCAACCAAAAACCCCAAACATACCCAAAGCTGAGAGATTTATAATTTGGTGGGCTGACTAGAAAACAAACCCCGCGTTACTAGTCTGTGGTGGCTACAGCGGCACATCCCCTCTTATAACCTCAGTAACCCTGCTGTAGGAAAGCGAGAGTTAGATGACGATGCAGTTCCTAAAACACCCAGAAACAGCACCCGCTCCTGTAATTTCAGCTTTAAAAAAAGCACCATAATTAGTGACATTTGGTGGGTTGGAGTTGGCTTGGGATGCCGTTTTAGAACGCATTTTCGCTAATTGGCTTTAATGGAGCCCTGCTGGACTGCCTTTCTCTGTCTCCAGGGGTAACAGACAGGAAATCAGTCATCAGAAAACCCTGCCAAGTAGGCGTGTTCAGTGTGGTCACTTCCTGCTCCAGTCATCGAGGGGAGGAAACGGCCGTGTGGCATATTCTCCTTCTATGGTAAGCCACTGCTGCAAGACCGGAGGCTTTCACAAGGTTGCCATATAACACTTCCACTGTCCCTCCTACACTCAACAGGAGGCTTTTGCATTGTTCAACACATGTAAAAAGACTTAAAATAGCAAAGGTTATCTAAAATACACATGATAATAACTACATCATATGTTGTTGCTCTATAGAACTAAGCTATTTTTAAGGGATATGTGTGGTTCAGTCAAAGGAAAATTAGTAACTTCAGTGTGTGTGCCAATGGAGAGATCTTTCCCATGTGGCTAAAAGTTAATTTGGGAAAAAATGTGGGCATGAGGAACATGAGCCAGTAAAAAAAAAAAAATGCTGTTTAGCAAGTTGATGTGCCACAGCAGAGAAAATCTACCCCAAGAGCAAGTGCTTCTGTCATCATCGCTGACCTGCTCCAGCTCACAGCAGAATGCCTTGAGCTGGAAAACCCACTTTTATAGGCTGTTATAATCAGAAACACTAAATCACGTCTGGCAGCACAGCACGATGATTTGACACAATAAAAACCCAGAAAAGGTTGGACTAAGAAAAGCAGTGCTGGTATATCTCTTACCAACTTTTATATGGTAAATTAACAGGATAGTCATGTTCTGTGATGAGTTGACATTTTGTAAGCTTTTTTGCTTTCTCTCCAAGAATTGTCAATACCACTCGCCTATCTTTAAAGTTAATATGAAGTAAGAGCCAGTTAAATTGCCCTAGTATAACAACTGGAAATAGGGACAAATCTAGCCTGGCTCTGGCCAAAGGAAACAAAGTCTGTCTCTAGCAGCTATTTTAGCTCACTATTAAACTTGTTGTATCAACTTGTTTATTTTTTACAACACGCTATGGGCTGCTCTATTTCTTGGCCAGTCTTTTTTTAAATCTAATTTAACTGAGTGCCAGCAGCAGGTCCAAATGTACACTACAAAAATGTGATGTTTATCAATCGGTGGTTACTCTTCACACATTTTTTCAAAATGTGAAACATTTCCTTTAGGGTCTTATAGGCTTTATGTGAAGACGTAGTTTTATTGGGAAAGAAAGCTCAATGTTTAATAAAGGTCGAAGTCTTCGCTTAGAAAACAAAACAGACAATTTCTAAAACCGAATGAAGGCCAGCAATTTTTTTGAAATAACACAAGTAGCGTGTCGGAGCATCTGCGGATGAAATTATATCCCCGCTTTAAATCTGTCTGCCCTTGGTCTCTTGCCAAATGTTAAAGGAATGATGCTGTCCTGCCAACCCAAACTCTTAGATCACCTCTCCAGCAAGACAACACTCTTGACACTTCGGATGAAATGTTTCTGAATTGGTGATATTTGTGTTTGATCGTCCCGGGTGATGATCTGTTTATTGGTAATGATTTATAAAAGCTGTTCTTTTATTACTTTTCATGGGGAGTTTGTGTGTTGTCTGATGCTCTACTACTGAAAACATTGCACAGTCCAACTTGAGCAGCTGCACAAACCTCTGTTATTCCAAAAGGGCTGTTTCTGTGCGGGTCACATCAGGCGAATGCTGAATAGTTGAACAGCTCGGATCCCACACTTTACCTTGCTACCACTGATTTTTGAGTCAACAAAGGATGTTTTGGAATCTCACTCACCAGCCATATCGGCCCCGCTGTCCTCAGCCAAAAATAAGTTCACGGTTCATTCATGTACAGGCTACGGGGAGGAATTACTACAATAGTTTTCTGTCCAGTACAGTGAGGTGTGGAGTGAGTGTTACAGAGAGCATGCACTCCCTATTTTAACACTGACCTATGAAGGTTATTCATAGGGCTGCTCAATTAATCGTATTTTAAATCGCAATTACGATTATGGCTTGCAACGATTACGAAAACAACGTAATCGAAATAAAACGATTATTTTTTTATTATTTTATTATCTTTTCAAATTATTATTATTTTTTTGGTTTTTCAGTTGAATAATACTTAAAGTTCAGGGTAATCAACTGTTAAAAACATACTGTCCAAAAAAAAATCTCCAATAAATTGATGTTTTCAAAGTAAATGGATAATCGTTTTTAATAATCGTGATATCAATTATTGACCCAAATAATCGAGATTATGATTTTTGCCATAATCGAGCAGCCCTAGTTATTCATATCAGAAATGTCATTTCCCTGCTACCAGTTCACCTTTATTGTGTCTATAACTAAACAAGTCCACAGCTTAAGTCCAAAGTTGCTTTGAGCTAGATACTATCGTCGGCTGATGCTAACATGATCACAATGCTAACATGCTGATGTTTAGCAAGTATAATGTCGACCCCGTTCCCATCTTAGCTCAGCATGAAAATATAGTTAGAACTAGTACTAAATACTGAAAGGGCAGCAGAGGCTGATAGGAATCTGTTTGGTCATCAATATAGCTTTGTCACTTAAGTGGGAAAAAACATTGCGTCGTAAGCAACATTTGAGCTGAACAGCAGCTATGGATTTTTACCATGATGATAACGACTATGACCGGTCACTAGATCTCATTCTCTGTCCCATAGAGGGTTTGAATAGAGAACATCCCAATAATTTATACATGAGGTTTCAAACGAAAGCTAATCAATAAGCTATCGAATTGTTTAGGACGTTCCAGGGGGACTTAAAGGTATTGGGAGTGTTGTCTCCTCCTTAATGACTATTTATCGATCGTTGATTGTCAGTCGGCTCTCCTCTCGTGAATGGGAATCCTTTGACTTGAGTGGTCATACAGAGGAATGTAATTCATGTAGACAGGAGACACATTTGAATAAAAAAAAAAATGCACATCTTTCAACCAATCTGCACATGATGATTGCAAATGTAATGAAGCCAAAGTACTGAAATAAAGATCAATGGGAAGTCTGGTTAAGATGTCTAGTTACATTCCTCTTCCATCAACTGATGTGCCTCCATCTACAAACTTGAAATAACACAAACCTCTTGTGTCAACCTTTGACACAGCATTCACAAACTAAACCCAGCCTCCCACTGTCCTTACTACAGCTGTATTTATCCAAACCTCTTGGAAATGGACGCTGTTCAGACCACTGAAATGTTTTTAGAATTCAAACCAAAGATGATCGGCTGTGCTCCAAGACATGCTTCAAAGCCCATTTATGAATCAAAGGCTTTTTGCACTGAAGCAGTTTTCGCTCATAATTGCTATCCAAATTTAAATTGACCAGTTTGTGCATTAAATATCAAATACGTTTTACCATACCGCAGAATCAACTAAGTGGGTTTGAGGAATTCCCATAACCCAGTACATAACTGTCAAAAAACTGAAGGGGTGACAACAATGAAGGCCGATTTACCACATCAAAGACCAGGGCTATTGGTGATTGATGTGGGATAGGGTCAGAAAGAGGAGAGCAGGAGTAGTCCCGATCCTGAAAATGTGAAATGGGGACAAGGCCATGCAGTAGAAGTGATATGGGCACTGACCCAGACAGAGCTCCTCAAATAAACAACTTGAAGCCACTCTGTTTATGTCAAGGCTAGGATGACAAATTAGGGTGGAAAAGAGAGGAAGGATGGGGAGGAGTAAGACACAAAACAAAGATGGCTTTCCCTCAATGCTTTTTCTAGCCGTCTTCATCAGAGCTAAAAGTGGGCGTTAAGGGTCGAGTCCCAGTGTTAACAGATTTCATTAAGCCCATTGAGGCTAATTAGAGGGAGGGGCCCTCAAGTCAAATGCACCTCTAATACCTCATTCACACCAACGCAACTCCGGTTCAAGCTCCGTGCTAGAGCTTTTCAGGTTCAGAACCAGTTCTTCGGTTTAGCTCTGGCTCTTTTCACACCGCCCAGAGTCCGACTGGTAATGCGTCGTTGCGTCATCGTTTGAGTCATGATGTAACCGTTTGCGTGCCTGCTTCATAAAGCCAAACCGCGCGGATGAAATCAGTTGCATTCATTTCTTATGGCTCTATCTGCAGATTTTCCGGAGTCATTTCTGTGGTTTAGTTATATTCTTATAAAAAAGTGTACTCGTGTCAATAAAGGTTTTTTAAAAAACACAACTGCTTCCGAGGTCGGTCTTATTTCTTAAGGTGGACTGAAACTAGTGTGGAGTAACGTTGTATCTTTCATTTAAATGAACTGTAACCTTCACCCAGGTATGTAACAGCTGTTCTCAAATGAACACGTTAAGTAAAGTTTAATATTTATAGATTTATAATGAGGTGATCAACGTGAATGCTCAGGTTCCACCTTAACACGCAGACACGTTGCTTCACCATGAGCAGAAACCTTTATATATACAGTCTATGGCAGAAACACTGAAACTCTGAAACTCTTGTTAAGTTTCTCCATCGTTGTGTACAAACTGGATACAACGCAGGCTTTTTGTTGTTGTTCAGGAGTTGATCTGTCTCTGCCCCTGCCCCCGCCTCGACGTAAGCGTGATGTATGTGGTGCTTTTGCTCTGGCCGGACAATTTTTTGGTGCTTGAAACGAACCGGATTCCGGAGCTAAGAGGCTGCTCCGCTGCGGTGTGAAGAGGAAAACCCGGTGCTTTTCAAGCTCCAGCTCCGAACCGGCCCTGAAACACCGTTGGTGTGAATGAGGTATAAGGTCAGGCTCATTACCACTTTCACACCAAGTACTTTGCCGTACTTAGTGCCCCCGGCACTTATTACCCCCAGGGCACTAAGTACCAATCGCATTCACACCGGAGTACTTTTCCCTGAGGGAAGATTACGCAAATGAGCCGCTGACGTCACTTCGTCTTCTTCTGCTTTGGGTTTACTGGCAGGCCGCAAACAACTTCACGGCGTATACTGCCGGAAGTCCTTCCGAGTAAATCGTCAGAACGCCGACAGGCCCGACACCTCCTCATCTCCACCGCTCCCATGTTTTTTTTTGTGTTGCCATAAGTTATTCTCTCTCCGTTGGTGCGCGGGGCTAATGCTAATAATGCTAATGCCAGCAAATACAATGGCGGCTTTAAAAAACTTTTCAGAGTTTTACGGGGCGTGGTTTGCAATTCACCCAGCCAATAGAAATTGGTACTTTTTTGGTACCAGCTCTCTAGCAGGCACTAAAAATGGGGGTAAAAGTTCCCGGCACTAAGTACTCTTTTTGGTGTGAACGCGACATAAGGGGTACTAACGGAACTAAACGGGAAAAATACGGGGTAAAAGTACTCCGGTGTGAACGCGCATGCGGTATGCTTCTATGCATGATCATCGTGGCACATTACACTGATTAGAACACACTGGTGTGTGTGTGTGTGTGTGTGTGTGTGTGTGTTATAAAGGCAATTAATGGTTACATGTATCACAGATTACCTCCTGGTTATCTTTAAGATGTGTTGTTTGGCCAATAAAATATCAGAAAATAGTTTTAAAAAAAGGCCCATTTTCTCATAGTCTAGGATGTATGTATAGGTGATTGTCAGTCCTAAACCCATAGATATTCAGTTGATTATGAAATAAAACAAAGGATAGCAGGATATTTTAGACTGAATTAAGCATTCAAGCCATTTTTTGCATAAACAATAGCTGAAGTATATTGTGATGTAAAAAGATAATTACGTCTAAAGAAATACCTCCAAGATGATCTTCTGAAGCAGAAGCAATACAAATAGTCAAGACAACCCTGGTTCGCAAATGTTAGCTAAGATGATAGATGAGATAGCAGACACTATAGCATGTGTGTGTTTGTCTCCTTGGCAACTTCCAGTTTATTTGTAGGAGAAAACAGAGACTTTACCAAAAGGCCTTTAGTCCAGCATACTTTGTCAAACTGACAGACTGACATGTTATTGTAGCCATGGAGCCCACTCTGTAAGCAGTACTACAGCCATTTGACAATATATTATATACCATTAGACACAAAAGTTAAGACTGTGGCCCATTAGTAGTTATCACCTAATCTTTCTGAAGACTTTTATAAACGTTCACACTCCATTCATTTAATTGTAGCTATGCACACAATCCTACATGTTAATGCATGGCACGCATACATTGGGCTCACTTTGGCTCTTTGCACAGGAATTTGTTATTTATAATGTAGCTCCAAAGCCATTGTTGCAGGAGATATTTGGCAGGTTGTGCTGACAGCGGTGAACGTTCTGCTCGACCATTAAGATAACCAAAATATCTCATAATAACTAATTGCAGATAATAACTCAAATTAAAAGCCATAAGCTTTTGAACAGTGTGAAATAGATGAAGCATGGATCAATGCACAAACCCGCATTAATCTTATACACTGATTTTGTGGGAGTGAGTATTTAAACTGTTGTTTTCAGGAATGTTTGCGTAGAATAGCAATGCTGCCTTGCAGGGACACAGACTGTGGTGGCTCATTTAAATACAAGAAAGCTATTTTCTTCTCCTTGAGGTTTTCCTAACCTTCTTTTCCCCCTGTTGAGGTCTTATTCATTTCCATCCTCCCTCTTTTTGTTGTCCCACCCTTCTCTCTTTGTGCTTACTGGGGCAGCAGGAGTGGGGCCTACAGAACTGCTGTGCTAAGCTTGAAGTCTCAGAGCCTGGCGTCAGGGAAAAATACAAGCTGAGCTCTCATGCAAAGTGGACTCACCAGGAGCTCAGCCCTGCGGTTGTACTTTCTGGACTTTTATCTGCAAGACAAAACTATTTGCAGAGTGGTACGGATAATGCTTTCACCTGCATAGCAATGAAGGGTATTTTAAAAGCCACGTTCTGCAGTGATAGCCCAGCCACATGTTTGTTTGATGCCAAAAAGCAGAAACAAAGACTAATTTAAGAAGGAATGAATTTGGAAGTGATTTAGTTTCTTTAAGTGGAATGTCCTTCTATATTTTGACCTTCTAGCTACCTGCATCATCTGAAGAGAATACATCTTGTGTGAGCAGAAAGGTGTGAAAACCCACAGTTGATTGTCCTACCTGTAGCTGTTGTGTGTAGGATCGGCCCCAGGACTGAGCGATAACAGGTGTGTGGGGGACGGTCCTTCCCAGGCCTCGTGCTTCCATGGTGGGACTCTCTGAACTTTTTCCTCGACGAAGCACCGATTCATCAACTTCCCTGGGGTTAGCAGTCCCACTGTTGATCCTACGCATGTACACCTGGGACAGGGAGCAACAGAAAAGAGCAACAAATTAACCTTTTCATTACTTTTAAAGAATGTAATCATCAGTCTTAAAACATTTATTTTGTAGCTCACCTCTGCAGGGGTCGGCTTAAATCCCTTCTGGGCCTCAGCATTCCCACCAGCACCTGCTCCGCTGTTCATCGATTCTTCTAAATCAAAGGTGGTTGCCCGGTAAGCCCTCCATGTTGTTGCAGTTTCTGTTTCATCCTCCAACCCACCGTCAGCCATCGTCCTTGCACCCCCTCTTCCCTGGCCTGTCTCCTCCACAGACGCTGGGCTCCGGTTCTTCCAGGTGCTTCTCACAGTCACATTCTTCGACTCTGGTTCTTCTTGGGAGTGCTGGTTTTGTCTTTGGTGTCTCCAGCTGGTGACCGTGGTGCTGCTGCTGCTTTCGAAGCCGGACTCTGTGTCGTTAAAATCTGCAGAGGTGATGTCCGGAGACTGAAGGCTAAAGTTGCTGTGTTGTCTGCTCAGGTGGCTGGTGGTGGTCTCCACTCTGTTGTGGTGTTTGGACCTGAACGTGGAATCCCTCAGGTCATCCATCTCATAGTCCTGGTCCTCCTGACACGTCCGCAAGGTGATATCACTTTTGGGAATGGAGATCTCATACGGGACAGAGATGCTGCCATGGTGTTCAATGCTGGGGCCTGGCAATGAGTTAAAATATATCAAAACATTTTTAAAATAAGTCAAACATTTTAGAAATGCAACAAGCTGACAGAAGTAATAAATACTGAATCATATATTATCATAGCTATGTTCATTTAAACACGACAGCCTCATGTGGCACTTACCAATGACGATGTTACTGGTGGAGGTGTGGCGTTCTTTGATCGGCATGTGTTCACTGGACACACTGCTGCTGCGGCTGCTGGTTCTGGAAGAGCTTGGGTCATTGGGGTAGATGGTTATACTACTGGTCATTTTACTGGTGGTGGTCACCATAGGTTTGGTGGAGATTTTGGGCTTGCCATTTGTAGACAAAGGTTCTGAAATCATCACTTCCTTCCTGTCAATCTCGACAATCGCAGGCTTGATGACAGCTTTTGACCTCAGTGCCTCACGTGGGCTGCACACTTGCTGGATCTCAATCCCTGATGCAGTATGCGCTGGCCCCAGTTGGCCAACCTCAGGGAACAGAGATCTGTGGAGCTCCTCATCGAACGAGCCCCTGGAAGAAGAACCCTCAGAATGAGAGTCATGGGCATGGTAGGGTCTGGGATATCTGGAGGTTGAGGTCCTACTGCTTACAGTTGCTGTAGTCACCTCAGTTACAGGCTCGGGTTCAGATGGCCTTGAACCAGTAGATTCTGTTTCGGAGGCAGATGAATGACCCTCTGATCCCTGGTCGTTGGACAGCAGTGGAGTGACTTGGGATCGGTAGGCCGAGTAGGATCCATTGGCTTTGGACAGGGTGCCGGCGACTGATACAGAGACAGATTCCTGAACCTGGTCTGTTGATTCCTGATCTGAGGCGGACGCTGTGTCCTTCTCTAAAGCAGAGATACTTTTGATGTTACTGGAATTGTCAGGCACTACATCTGAGTTGTTTGATTCGCTATCGCTACCTACGTACAATTTCGAAACCTTTTCTACTCTGCTCTTTTTATTCTCCCCATCTGTCTGTTTTTGAGCAGTCCTCAGGGGCTTCGGGTCATGAGCTGCTGGAGGATAGCGACTAAGAACGGATGCTTTCTTGCTTTCACTGGAGGATGTGTTTGCATAGGGAGTGGCTCCTCTTATCTTTCCCTCAGTCCCTCGTCCTGTGTCTCTTACTCCATTACCAGATGAAATCGCAGTAGTTGGGGTTCTGGGTGTCCTTCGACTCTTGTGAGCAGGACTGAGCGCTCTCCTCCCAGATTTAGGTGAGCTCTCCTCCGAGTGGCTCAGATCTTTCCGCAACTTGGTCTCTCTCTTACTCTGAGGGGAGAGATCCCTGATCCTGTGTTTAGGGGAACTTGGCTCTGAGACAGTAGCGGCACTCCTATATTTCGGCTTCTCTTGCCTGAAACCTCCCTTCACAATAATCTCTTCATTCTCAGCTTTGCCATTCTCCAGGACCTTAGCAGGGCAAATGTTAGTGCTTCCATTCCCGTGTTTATCCACATTACTGGTTCCATTTCTTCCAGTTCCACCCTTTCCGCCCAGCTGCACCATGAGCTGTTCCACCTGCTCGCTTAGTTGGCGAGCCCGGTTTCTTTCCATCTGAAACTTCTCATTAAGCTCGCCATTTTTGGACTCCGAGTCCTTTAGATCTCCCTCCACTATCTCCAGCTGTTTAAGACGGTTCTTCAGCCTCTCTACTTCTTGCGTTAGTTCCTTTACTTTGTTGTCCTCATCCTGTTCAAGACCGCTGTTCTTCTCATTCTCAGATTTGAGACCAATGTTGTCATCAGCTAGCTTCAAGTACTCAAGGCTCTTCTTGCGTCCAGCCAGTTTACTCGTGAGAAGCCCTGTGGATGAAAGCTCATCCTCAATTCGTGATCTCATGACATCTGCACGACCAGGGTCTGCCGACATACCGAGGCGACTTTTCTGGTGCTCCAATTTTTCTGTTAGCTTTAGAATGATCTTCTCGTCTTCCCTTTGCTTCTCTATTAGCCTCTTACGCTCAATCATGAAGTTCTGGGTGAATCCTTTGAGTTTCTCAAGCTCCACAGCCAAAGCCTGCTCTGCTTTGTCCAGCTTTGTCTCAGATCCTTCCACCTCCTTCAAACGTGCTTTGAGGGCCTCCAACTCAGACGAGAGCTTCTTGGTCAAGTTCTTTTCCTCATTGAGGCTTAGGCAGAGCTGGCCGCAGTCAGACTTGCATTTGCCAAAAGCTTCTTCCAGTTTCTCCAGGTCAGCCATCCTCCGTTGAAGACGTTCAATCTCTGCCTTTAGCTCCTGTGTCAGGCTCTCCTCCTCTTCCAGTTTCTCTCTGACTGTGCGGCAGAGATCCTCGGCTTTGCGTACCTCCTCGTCCTTACCCTGGATCCTTAGGAGACGTTTCCGCAGGTCTTCCACATCTCCAAGCAGGGATGAGTTGCTGCCTTCACCCTGGATGACTTTGTCCTGTAGAGGAGAGATACAGTTCAGACTATTCATTAATCTCTTCATGTAGTGTAGTTCTATTTCCAACGTTTTTCACTCAATGCTTCTGATATCCAAACAATAACAAAACCACTATCTGAAGTAAACCAGTACTGACCTGCAGGTCGAGGAGTTCCTCTTCAGCCTTCTGCAGTTTGTTGGTGGCTTCTTCCAGTTCATCCAATCTTCGACCGAGACTCTGCAGCTTGTGCCGCAGGTGGCGATGTGTCATGTCTTTATGGTCAGACATGGCTATAAGATGTTTTGTTTTATCTGTTGTGTTTTTTTCTTTTTCAGATTATTTGACAAGATTTGTTTTTGGAGGTCCACATTTGTGTGGTAGTGTTTATCTAGCACTCGAGTTCTTGGGGAAATCCTCCTCTCTCTCGGTGGTGTGTCTGTCACTGTCGCTTTAAGACTTTGAAGTTCCCTCAGAGTCGTGTTAAGCAGACAAATCTGTCATCTGTAGGAGGGAGAGAGGAAATACCATTTAGTCATCTCTAAATTTGTCAATGACAGTCATTTACATTCTCAAAAAGGTAGCTCAGTAACAGTAAGTGGGGGGGAAGGATTGCACACCATCTAATTGCTGTGACACAAACCATATGACTAACACAAGTTGCCAAAAACCAAGACATGGATTAATTTAAAACAATTGTAAGTAACAAGGAATTTGTTCTTTTAAATCCTAATGATATGAAAGTAAAAAAATAAGCATAACATTATCTTTGGCAAAAGACCATTCATCATTATGAACATGATTAAGTATGAATTAAGGTAACATAACAAACACACCGCACCTCAATTTCTTCCTACTAGAAAACAACCATGTATTTCACCTTGCTTGTCCTTTTGAAGGAGCTTTTGTGGGCACTGGTAACATATGGAGTATGGGGGTTTTAACATGCCTGCACACATAGACAGACAGACACTTTGTCGTCTCCCTTCTGTTGTATCCAACATCGATTCATGCTGGCCTGCCTGCTTCTGCTGATAGCAGCACATCTCAAAGACAGACTTCCTTCACATAACCCATTAACAACACCATACATCCATACATGGTCCCACGGGACAGATATAATAAAAAAAGAAAATAGTTTACTCTGTACAGAGACTAATCAGGCAGAAATAAATTATACAAGATCAGACAATGAAGCCACATTATAAAGGCAAACGAGAATATTGAAGCTTTATTGTCCCTTTGCGTTGTTAATCATTACAATAATACCACTGATTGGATTATATCTTTTTTAGAGCCATTCTAATGTGTAACTAACTTTGTGAGCATGGCTATGTGATAAGAACAGGAATAATTGGCACAATTTAGCATTATAATCATTTGTCTCATGCATGATTCAGGTTGTGTGCTCTCTTAAATGCGTTCACTCCCCTTCCCCCTCAATTCTGCTGAGCTTCCCCCACTGACCACGAGGGAAAATCGACCAGAGGGTAGGACATAACATCTGCACACATCATCACTTATCGACCGGCTCCATACATCTTCTCTCCCCTCGTCTACAGTACCATGTTCAAAGATTGCCTCTCTGATGCTAGAAACCACTACAAATAAAGACTACTGGCGTTTTCCTTTACGTTAAATAACTTCTACTGCAGTAAAACATCAACCAGTGTAGTAAATTAAAACAGTCTTTTAATCTATGAGCTTACATGGTATACAACAAGGTGTAAATTGCCATTATGGTTTACTCCAGCTTAGTTTCATATACATACTATGGTGTCATTTGGCGTAAAAAGTCCAAACCACTCTTGCCACAATTCATTTAATGTCTTGTTAAACATAAAGCAAGGCAATAGGCTTTGAAAGTCAATATGGCAACGATTACTTTTAGAAAAAGCACAATGTGAACTCAAAGCATTTAACTGTAGCATTTTAATTCTTCTTTACTTTCATGAGGTCTAGTGGTTTGGTAATCTTGTGAGTAGAGTGCAAGACTTTGAGGAAATACTGCAAAGTACATGGACTGCAGAGGGAAAAAAACAGATGGGGAAAATTGTTGGAGAGAAAACTGCTAGCCTAGCTGTCCACTTGAATGCCAAGACACCTTAGTCAATAAAGTCATTTTGGGTTGCATTTTTCATTTTGCCCAGCTGTGGCTTGTTAAGGGAATTGGAAACCAATTTTTCACCATTGTCTTGAGGTGGTCGCTGTGATCCAAACCTGTACGGATTGATCCTGTTCCAGCAACGTAAGAAATACTATGAAAATCCCCATGTATCCATTAAAAGCATCGATCGCTTACTGGCACAAAGACATTTAGAAAGCTACAGCCTTCATGACAACTCTTCACACAACACTATGCGGTTCTGGAAAAATGCAACCACTTAAAAAGGTTAAGAGAATAACTTTTAGATAATGTGCCTCGTGAGATAAAGTTGAATCCTTGGACATCAAAGGTCCTAATGTTCTGACCCACTCAAAAGTGAAACATCTTTCATGTTCAATCTTCATTATTTTACCTTTGAGAGATTTATGGTTATTTTAGTTTTGGGTGTTTTGCTCATTCTGAACTGCTTTGGTTGGGTCTCATCGTTGGTAATAATGGTGTTTCGTTAGGTCCAGCTACTCCTGTCTTGGCGCTTTGCCTTCCTCTCCTTTCATTTTCCCTTTATTTCTTTGCCAGCTCTCTACCTCCCTCCCTCATCTCTCCCCTCCATCTCTCTCAGACACGCACACCAACGCGGCCAAGTGGGCGCTTTAAAGGGGCGGCGGTGCGTGCAAAGCGACTCTGGCAACAGCCCGCCTCTGCCAAACCAATCAACATACCTGATTCACTTATCGCATAGCCGTGGCCTCATTAGCTACATTCGGGACAAGAGGAGGGAATAAGAAAGGATGGCTGGTGAAATGGAAAAGAGGAGAGAAGAAACAAGAAGATGCAACAAGGCGGTAGAGGGAAAAGGAAGGGAGGTAGATTAGAGTGGAAGAAATGATGGACTTCAGTATTTAGTCTTTGACCATAAACTTCTTAGATTTAAAACATAGATAAGTGTTAATGAATTCTAATATTCCTGTATTCCTTTCATGTGTTATTCATCTTCAAGACTGTGGTACGACAAAAAAAAAGGTGTGAAGTTGGTTGGAAAAGAACAGGTTAGAGAGCGTGCAGAAGGCAGGGGATGGAGGGAAGGATACGCAGTAAAAGAGGAGAGTAACTGAGGTATTCTGAACTCAAATTGAACAGTTTCATTGCCCTGTTTGGTGCGTTGTTTTACAATTATGGAAAACCTGGAGGGGGTTGTAGCAGCGAGAGATAGGGGGACCGACCCCTTTTCAAGCAGAAACATTCCTAATGACGGACTAACCAGGGAACTGCCAGACCCTCGCTCTGCCTCGTCTTCTCTTAACAGGCCACTGACGGCTCTTGCAACATTTCTCTCTCCTAACCAGGGCATTGTCAGGGCTTCATGGCAAAGGGCCCAGGGAGTATATACATATGTTTAAATGTGTTGCTTTAGTCTGCGTTCAGACTCAAATGAATGAGGACATTACTTGGTCTAGATTTGACTTCAGTCAGATATTTAACTGAGCGCATTCCTGCCATTGTCTTTACTACTTAACGTGATAAACATCTGTAACCAAGCTCACAATGCCATATACATTTAAGAGAACACTGAAAACAGCTTAAAACGGACTTCTCAGTTCAACACTGTTTGACTCTGGCACCTTACACTTCCTGAAATCTGGAGAGGAAGTTCCCCTTCTTGACCTTTCACACTCCCACTGTTGTGTTACGAGAAGCAGGACACTGAGAGCGCTTATCTGCAGCAAGAGTGTAGACGTGTGAGGAATGTAACAGCTTCTGCGATGTGCTGCCTTCAGGGAGTGTTACAACTAGAGTTTAAGGTTTCATATTTTACACTTTAAATGTATAGGTTTTGTTAACTGAAACTTTCTGGAAAAAGTACAAGGCAAACGTAAAAAACACTGTAGCTGCAACACCTCCCTGCAGGTGCGAGTGTAAAAGCTGCTGCAGCCATTACTTTCTTTTCCTCCTTTGGGCAACAGCAGAATGCCTACATCTGCAGGTCTAAACTGGCTCTGCTTTTGAATCCCTTTGATATAGGTGGCGTTGGTTGGCAATATGTACAGTGGTTAGGGTGCATACCACATGGGCAAAAATGCCGATGGCAGCAAGTCCCAGTGTGATTCCCGGCGGTTCAGAGCGTTCACTGCATGTCATTCCCCTTCTCTCATCCAACACATTTCCTGACTCTCTTCCCCATCACTAATAATAAAAGGGTATAAAATGCCCCAAAAAAAACAACTTAAAAAACATTTGTGAGTTGCACGCCTAGGTGTTTTCCATCAAGGAAGAGAAAATGAAGACTAGACAGATATAACTGATGCATGCAAGAGGAGGGGAAGGACAAAGAAGTTGAACTAGAAGAGCAGAGGGGCTTTAGCTTGTCTTAAAACTACCAATAGCAAACTGAGCTTGAAGTCAAACTTTGACACACACACACACACAAACACACACACTATCATTAGGGCTTTAGCCACCCTTCCTGCCTGCCTTTAGTACATTTTGTTCTCTCCATGGAAGAGAAGAGGAAAAAAAAATCCCCTCTCTCTTGCACTTGACGTTAGAGCTTATGGGTTTAAAGCTCTTCTGCCTCATAAATGGTAGTTAATAAAGGGCCCCAGTCCAATCAAAACCCCTCAACCACATCTTCATGTAGGGGGTTATTGTAAGTTTGCATATGTGCATGTGGGACAAGAACTCTGTGTGTGTTGTATGTGTCTGAGTGTGAGGAGGGACGACTACAGAGGATGGATGCTGGCGCAGCACTGGAAGCCACAAGATGGTGGAGACCTGATGCTTGGCGTGCATTTTTCAGTTTTTCCAAGAAAGAAAAAATCCCATCCCATAATGTTCGGTTTGTCGTTTCCTGTGCTGTCATGTTCCTTTTTTCTACGTGTTTCTTTTTTGGTTCACCCTTTCAGTTTTGCCCCGCTTCTGGAAAAATGGTAGTGAAATAAAAGGCAGTGTTGCATTTCAGTAGAAAGGGAGTATTCGTTAGACAAGCTGAAATGGGATCAGAATATCTTCTCTCCTTGGATTTTTCCTTAAGTTACTGAATTAATTGACTGCTTAGAATATAATTATTGAAATGTGGTGAAACAGTGGGTAAACAAAATGTCACCTCTGGTTGAAATATATATTTGTCGCAAAACAACTGTACACACAAAGCAGACAGTTTCTGTTTGTCAAAGCAACATCACTCAATGCCGAGATGTTCCTTTGTGACATTATTTACTTTCTTTTCTTCCACCATTTATTTTTCTGTTGGAATCAAATAGATTGAAAGCAAATGTATACATCCTAGTTTTGCTCCATTACTCTTGAGGGTCTTTCTTCCTAGACCTGGCTGCCAATGGTTGTAAATGCTCAGCATGGACACTTAGCTTCATTTCAGTTTGGATTTCCTTTCATGTGTTAA